ATTACCTTTTTAAATATGTTTGCACAAGTATTCAAGTCTTGCAAGATTCAGCTTGTTACTAGAGTTCTGCAGCTGTCTATTGGGTATCCTCCTTTCCCCTTGTAGAAGCTGCCTGTAACATCCTACAGCAAAGTTCCAAAGTTCCACTAGTCAAAGCTACCTAGGTCTTCCCATGCCCTAGTGTTTAAATCCAGTTTAGCTGTTCAATAAATCAACTTATTGTACTTGGTTGGCCTTCATCTTTCCAGATTGGCTGGTACCTAATTAGACTATTGAACTCAGATAGTCCATCCATCAGCAGCATAGATAATAGTTTACCATTTTTATAGGAACTTTATGGAGACAGCTTTTTTTAGAGTGAAATGAACAGATATCAAACTCTAAAAATTATATTTGCTTGTTGTCTGCTCCACTCTGTTGTCAACTTGACTAGAGTTTTGTAGAAGTGCTGTATATGCCTTTTACTTTAAATAGCAAAATACAAATGATAACATTTAACTTAAACCTCTCCATATGCATTAATTCTATACATGTGCATATACACCCATGTGTATATATACAGACATATATGGACATATGTACATTTAAAATCCCCATATGGAACTTAGGTCGAAAAAGTAGAAAATGTAGGCACCAACAGAGAAGAAAAGGACAATGACGAGCCTATGTAAACAACTATGCTCTTATTTTTTCTTTTAAGTGGAACTGGTGGTTTCTTTAGTACATATCGAAAATTAAATGTGAATAAGAGTGTTTTAAGTAGAAAAATAATGGTAACTAAATTCTTATGTCTGCTAGAGGTCAAAATTAGTGTGATTTAGTAACTTTAAAAATTGATATTTATTTGATTTTTTGGAGGCAAAACTATCATTTAGTTTTAAGCTTTTGTTTTGCTTCATATTCTTTTAAAATCATATTCATTCCAGTGCAACTGAAAAATTATTCATTATTTATCTTTGGACAAGTTTACTTAATATTATTATGTATTCTTTCTTTTCACAAAGTGATAAATAAAATATCTGATAGCATTATTTTTCAAACATAAAAGCCTGAATAAAAAGTAAGATTGGTTACTGAGTTATAATTTTATTTTTTTGCTTTAATGCTACATTTAAACTCTAAAAAAGGGGATGAGATGCTTGGCATTTCATAATGATTAAACAGGTTGAAATAATAAAGCATTTGCTTTCCACTAAATTAAACAATATCTCATGATTTTATCTTTTAAAAAAGTGTGGGATCTGCAGTTTCTTTAGGCTTCAGCGCATTAGAGCTTTGAGATGCAGATCAAGCAAATATTCCATAAAGCATAATACTGCAGGGGGAATGTTTGATTGTGTATTCTACACACTTAAGAATGTATGGTCCCTGTTTTCCATTTCTCTTTATTGCATATGAATTATGTATTTCCCTAGGGGTTTTCAATTTACAATGTCCTAAAGAGGAAATAGAAAACATGTAACTTGGAATAACATTTTTATATGCAGAGTTGTTGTTTTTGATATGTTCCAAGTTCAAAAGGATATTTATAACTGCTCTCAATATCATAACATTATCAATTTCTATTTTCAGCTGATGAAAATACAAAATTGATTTTGCTTGGCAAATTCATCCATAGATAAGTTTGTAATTTCATAAGAACTTATTAACTTAGAGGGATTAATACTCTTTTCCTTTAACTCCTTCATGAATAATTTTATAGAAAATATTTAAAAAATATTTAAAATGAATTTGAAACACAGTGTCTAGTATATTTCTTATGAAGCCTGAAAACTAGAATTACTGTTTTTTTTTTTAATTTTAGCTTGTACTATTAGAATAGAAGG